CTCGCCGCGCGGCGCTCGGGGTGCACGGACGAGCCGGCTTGCGCGGGCTCCACTCCGCTTCGGCTCCTCCGCTGCTGCGGCGGCCTCGCGTTCCGGCCCAGCCCCAGCACCGCCCGCCCAGCTGCGACCCGGCCCCGCGGACCATGCGCCGCGCGCCCCCCGGGGGACCGGGCCGGGCCGACAGCCAGCACAGACGAGGCCCCCGGGCCGGGGCTCCACCCGGACGCCCAGGTCGCAGCCCGCGCCCTGCCCCGCGCCCCGGCGCCGCGTGAGCCTACGGGGCCATGGAGCGCGCGCTGCCCGACGGGGTGTCGAACGCGTCGGGGGCGCTGGCGGGAGAGGCGGCGGCCGCGGGCGGGGCGCGGGGCTTCTCGGCCGCCTGGACCGCGGTGCTGGCCGCACTCATGGCGCTGCTCATCGTGGCCACGGTGCTGGGCAACGCGCTGGTCATGCTCGCCTTCGTGGCCGACTCGAGCCTCCGCACCCAGAACAACTTCTTTCTGCTCAACCTCGCCATCTCCGACTTCCTCGTGGGTAAAGCCCCCCGACCCGCCGCCCAGGGGCCCGGGCGCTGAGCCCCGCAGGACGGGACCGGACCGGCCATGCTCGGAGCGCGGACGGCGTGGCGCCCTCCTCCGGGTCCGGCTGGGGCCAGGGGCGCGGGCGAAGCTCCTCGCCTCCCAGGCTGGACGGGGCCGCGGAGAGACCTCCCCGGGAGGGCCTGGAGCGGCGGGTGCTCGGCGCAGCGCGGGGCGCAGCGGGCGCGGGTGCAGCGCCGGCTGAGGCGCCTCAGCCAGACAAAGGCTGCGGCGGGCTCGGGACCCGGAGGGCGCGGGGAGGCGCGGGGAGGCGCGGAAGGGCACCTCTTGGAGCCCGCTGGGGAAGGGGCTGCGGGGCGCGGGGCGGGCGCAGGGCGGAGGAGCGCGCTCTCACGTGTCCGCGCGCTGCTGCCGGCTGGGGGGCGGGGCGCGCAGAGGGGCCGAGCGCCAGACACCTGTTGGGGCTGCCAGATGCTTCTCCCAGACACTGCAAGCCGGTTTTGGCGGTGGGAGTGGCTGGCGCGGCTGGAGCCCAGAGTCATTTACGCCAGGAAGGAAGGCTTTTTGGATTTTTAAGCTGAGGATGGAGGCTGTCCAACACCCAGGGTAGGGGCTGGGTCCAGCGTGGAGGCTGGGGAGACAGGAAATGCTCTTCCTCCTTCCCCTTGGGGGCTCCAAGGGCCAGACAGAAGTCCAGGGGTCCCCACGCCTGGTCCTCCCTCCTGTTCCCAAGTCCAGGGACCACTGGGGTCGGGGCTGAAGGCCTGGGGAATTGGAGGAAAAGATAAAGATTGCTAGTCACAGGCGGTGCCTGCCCTGAGAGCCCCAGGCCTGCCCTCTTTCCATGTGCTTGGTTTGACCCCAAGCCCCTGTCAACCATAGCTCCTTACCAGCCTCACTCTCCCGCAGGGGCCTTCTGCATCCCGCTGTATGTGCCCTACGTGCTCACTGGCCGCTGGACCTTCGGCCGGGGCCTCTGCAAGCTGTGGCTGGTGGTGGACTACCTGCTGTGCACCTCTTCGGTCTTCAACATTGTGCTCATCAGCTATGACCGCTTCCTGTCTGTTACCAGAGCTGTGAGTCCAGGGATACAGGCGCTGCGTTTCACTGAGGGGGGCATGGAGAGGGGCAGGGGCCTGGTGGGCTTGATCCCTGCTGGTCTCAGACCTGACATGTGGGCACTCTTTAGCCACGTGCCCACTCAGGGGCCATTTGCTGCTAGAGGACAGGTCCTGGCATGGCAGGAAACAGGGAGCCTGACCCGTAATCAGATGCTCCTGCGGAAAGGGGTTCACTGGCCAGCCTCCACCCTGGGGTGGGTCCAAAGTGCCTGGAGCTGAGAGGACCTGAGTGAGCAGGCCAGGAGGGTGGGCTGCAGCGCCCAGCTGCACCTGTTCCCCTTGGTGGAGCGGCTGTTATGAGGTAGCCCTGGACCTGCCTGCATCTGTGGAGTAGGAGCTGTGTGGATGGCAGTGATGGCTGCCCTCCACCCCCAGGCCTCATCAGGGGAGCATGTTTCAGGCCTAGGAAGATTGTGGGACAGAGTGCAAAAAGCACAAACCTGGGATCCTCTTGAGTCCCTCCTGCCCACCCTGAGCCACCAGGGACTTGGGGTAATCTTGGGCTGTTGTGAGGTTAAACGAGGTAGCGTCCAAGGGTACCCAGCACAGACCCTGGCACATGGCAGGTGCGCCTGGACCCATGGAGAGCTATAGCTCTGATCATTGCTCTGTCATCCCCAGGGTGAAAGCCTTGGCTGATGTGGGTGGGGAGTTACAGGTGCTCCTCACCCCTCCTCTGGGCGTCCCATCTGGGACCCCAGCTGGGTCTTCGGCCCCTCCTGCCCCCCTGCCCCCTGTGGGCTGCTTGGCCTCTGTGCTTAGAGGTTGGAGACTGTTGGTGAGGACTAACCTTCATCCTGTACTCCTTCCAGAGGTCCTGGTGGACATACTGGATGCTTGGTTACTATGTGTGTGCGCGCTGGAGGTGGCTGATGCTCAGTCTGGTGCCAGCATACGGGGCCCATGATGGGACACTGGGAGAGCTCACTGCTGGTGGGATTGGTAAAGAAGCAAGGTGTGCGTGGATTGCCTGGGAAGTTCCAGGGCTCTAGGAGGTGTGGCCAGACGTTAGCCAGCCAGGGCCCACTGGGAGAGGCGGGGGAGCAGAGAGCGAGGACTGGCGCTGCAGGTGAAGGGCAGACACAGAGACCCTTCCTCACCCAGGTGTCCCGCTGCAGGTCTCCTACCGGGCCCAGCAGGGCGACACGCGGCGGGCGGTGCGGAAGATGGCGCTGGTGTGGGTGCTGGCCTTCCTGTTGTATGGGCCGGCCATCCTGAGCTGGGAGTATCTGTCCGGGGGCAGCTCCATCCCTGAGGGCCACTGCTACGCTGAGTTCTTCTACAACTGGTACTTCCTCATCACAGCCTCCACCCTGGAGTTCTTCACGCCCTTCCTCAGTGTCACCTTCTTCAACCTCAGCATCTACCTGAACATCCAGAGGCGAACCCGCCTTCGTCTGGATGGGGCCCGGGAGGCTGGTCTAGAGCCCCCTCTGGAGGCACAGCCCTCCCCACCCCTGCCAGCCCCTGGCTGCTGGGGCTGCTGGCCAAGAGGGCCAGGGGAGGCCATGCCACTGCACAGGTATGGGGTGGGTGAGCCGGGCCCTGGTGCTGAGGCTGGAGAGGGAGCCCTCGGGGGCGGCAGTGGTGGAGGTGCCGCAGCCTCGCCCACCTCCAGCTCTGGCAGCTCCTCGAGAGGCACAGAAAGGCCACGCTCCCTCAAGAGGGGCTCAAAGCCCTCTGCTTCCTCGGCATCTCTGGAGAAGCGCATGAAGATGGTTTCCCAGAGCATCACTCAGCGCTTCCGGTTGTCACGGGACAAGAAGGTGGCCAAGTCCCTGGCTATCATCGTGAGCATCTTTGGGCTCTGCTGGGCCCCGTACACACTGCTGATGATCATCCGAGCTGCCTGCCACGGCCACTGCATCCCTGACTACTGGTACGAGACATCCTTCTGGCTTCTGTGGGCCAACTCGGCTGTCAACCCTGTCCTCTACCCGCTGTGCCACTACAGCTTCCGCCGAGCCTTCACCAAGCTGCTCTGCCCCCAGAAGCTCAAGGTCCAGCCCCATGGCTCCCTGGAGCAGTGCTGGAAGTGAGCTCGGCCACTCTCCTCACGGGCTCTGTTTCCTGGGCAGCCCCAGGCGTGAGCCTCACATTGTCTGCGGCCCATGCTTTGTCACGGCAGCTGCTCTTAGACCATTTGTCCTGCACCGAGGGCAGCCTGGTGGGTTGGCTGGGACCTCACTAGCTGAACTGGAGTGTGGGTGGTAGGCTCTGCTCCCGTACCGTACTTCCATCCCAGGACAACCCCCAGGTCTCAGGCATGTGTGAGGTGGTCCCACGGACAGGGCAGTGCCCAGTGGTGTCACCTTTTTCACACTTAGTGGTTGGTGTTCTCAAAGTGAACACTTGGTGTGTGTACCAGCTTCCCACCCAGCAGTGTGCTCCTGCACGCGCACACACCTGTACACCTTCCTCCCCAGACAAGCCCGGGATGCTGCCCTCGCTGCTGTCTGTCTCTTCCTTAAGCCCAGGGCCTGTTTCTTCATCCGTCTTCCCTCCAGCTTTCTGCCCCGCCAGTGTCAAGGGCCCCGGGAACCATGAAGCAGTTCTCTGCTTTTCCATTCTGGGTGTTTTCAGGAAGATGAAGAAAACACGTCTGTGAACTTGATGTTCCTTGGATGTTTAATCAAGAGAGATGAAATTGCCGAGGAGCTCAGGGCTGGATTGGCAGGTGTGGGCTCCCACGCCCTCCTCCCTCTGTGCTGCGGCTTCCGCCGAGCTGTGCCAGCTGCCTCTGCCCGCCCTGCCCCCGGGCTTGGGACGATGGGATAGCCCCACCATTGGCTCCGAGCGCGTCCAGAGCCCTGTGATGCCTGCTCAGCTGGCCGGAGACTATATCACCAGTCCCTTCTGCACAACCATAATTTCCTTGGAGTTACTGGGTAGGAGGGAACCTGGCTATACCCTAAGGATCCTGAGCCTTGCAGGGACAGTGAGCAGATCAGGGCCAGGGGACACCCAGGGGAGCCCACTTTGCCACCTCCTGTACACCTGCCACAGGCGCTCTGCATGCTCTGCTGTCCTTGTGCCTGCTGTGCTGCCCCTGCCAACGTGAAGTCACAATAAAGTGTATTTTTTTATTGGTGCTGATTCCTGAGTACTTTGTGGGGGTGGTCAGAGCTCCCGTGGTCTGGTCAGAGACCCCAGTGAGACAAGACCCTCAAGAGGTGGACGAGGGGCCTGGGGTCTTGGTGCAAGAAAGCCTGGGTCTGCCATCCCGGGGACGAGGGCCCCCACTGCTAGGCGGGAGACCACCCCACATGCTGCCAGCCTGGAGAACATGCACCTGAGGCCCCCACTTGATGCAGCCAGCCCGCCCTGGGCAGCAGCTGTGTCCTCAGACACGACCTTGCAATGAGGGCAGGGCTGCACTCCAGCAAGACCCAGGGCAGAGGTCAGCCTTGACCATGGTTAACACACTAGGGAAGAACTGGCCAAGTGGCGGTAGAGGAGCTGTAGTGACCAGAGCAGGCTTCTGGCAGCTCGAGGGGGCACTGGGCAGGGGAGGGGACGGGCCTGCAGCAGGAGGGGGTCTTTACTAGAGGTGCCATCCTGGACAAAGGCCTCAAGGTGGGACCAAAGGTGTAAGATGGGCCCAGTGGGAAGAGGAGAGGCAGGCGGTGGGTGGTGCCGTCCTCAGGAGCCAACGATGATGAAAGGCTGACCCTCACCCGGGGGCCCAGAAAGCACTTAGAATATTGGAAAATGCGACAAGCTGAGAGGCCCCATCCCTCTGACTCTAATTCTCACCTGACCCTGCCACCTTGCTGGGCAGGGCTCTCGCTTTCCCTTCCCTGCCGCCTCCCAGGCCAGTCCCTTGCAGCGGGGCACCCTGGGGTCTCTACGTGGTGGGCAGCTCCTCCACAAAGCACACCTGCACCAGAACTGATTCGCAGCACTGCGGGGGGGAAGGCAGCCCGCAGAAGCAGAACCCTTCCTCTGCAGACTTTTCCGCACACCCTCAGCCATCCCTACACTGCCGTTTTCTGAACTGCCTGGAAAACTTCCCTCCAGTTTAAATTGCACCCTTGCCCCTACAGCTCTTGCTCCCTCCTGACTCTATTCCTGCCACTTCCTGTTCAGGGAGGAGCCTCTCCTTGGGCAGAAGGCATGCAGCTCTTCTGTAGTGAGCAGAGGGAGGGTTGAGGCCAGGGACACGGTGTCCCCTGTGCCCTAGGCCCGGACCCTGTGCCGAGAAGTGGGGAGCAGGGAGGGCAGGGAGCATCCGCCCAGCTCTGGGAGGCCCTGTGGCCCCTCCTCCAGACACTGGCTTCCTTGCCCTGCACCACCTGCCTGGCCCCAGTGCCTGTCTGTCCCGCAGCCCGGAGCTGTCTGGGAAGGACAAAGAACGGCTGGACAGCAGTGGGCGCTTCCACACAGCAGCACAGCCGGAGCCTGGCTGCCCCTCTGCCTGGCCCTGCTAAATGGCTACAAATTGGAGGATAAAAGCACAGGCTTTCAAGCAATTTTGCCTTCAATCTCTGGAAACTGCTGCCCCTGGAGCTTCTGTGCGGGGACAGGGAGGAGAAAAGAAAGACACAGAGCCTATTGGGCCGGCGTCTGCAGCAAACAAACACACTGAGGGGGCCTTCTGCAATCCCAGTGTGCGCTGGAGGGGACAAAGCTGCTGCCTGGGGCCCAGCAGCACAGCTGTTGTTTACTGAGCACCTACTGTGTACCAGGAACTGCAGCAGGGAGGACAGGACGGTGGCTGGAGCAGAACCACACAGCCAAGAGAGGTCCAGGGTCAGCTCACCCCTGAGCTGCGGGGAGCTGACCCTGGGCTAAGCAATGAGGTCCACCTGGCCAGCAGCAGGCAGAGGAATGGGCCCTCAGGGCTGTCGCTGGCTGCATGCGTTGGGCACCTTGCCCCCAGGGATCAGTTTTGGGCATCTGCCTCGTAGCGCTCCTTCCCAGCTGGGATGGAGGCTCTTGGCTCTCGGGGAGCCCGGCAGGCAAGCCACCCCTACTTCTGCGAAGTTACTGGGACCCAGGGGCATGAGGAGGAACAGCCAGAGCCCCCGGCAAGGCTTCAGGGCCTGCATGACTGCTGGGCACCACCTCTCTGCACCGGCAGCCTTGTTGCCAGGTGTGGGGCCCAAGGAGCCTCCACCTATAGTTACTGGCAACCCTCATAGTGTGGCGCAGGCTCTGTGTCCTCGTGGGATCCCGAGGGGCAATCGTGCTCTCCATTCTGTAGCTGAGAGCCAGGCCAGGAGGGATTCACCCACCACTGGTGCGGAAGCCGGGACTCAAAGCCAAGCCTGACTGATGCCCACGTTCTCTCTGCTCTGTCGCACTCTCCCTGGGCACCTACGGTGTGCCGGCACCACAGTGTGCCGGTGGCTGAGCTAGCCCGCCCTGCAGGCCGTTTCCTCCTGGGGAGCTGGGCCCGAGCCCCGGCCACTTGTGAGCATGGCGGCCCATAGGGTGTCCCCACGCCGGGGTGGAGTACGGCATCCAGGAGAGATTCCGTGAGCTCTGTTGACCTGGCTGCCCACTGCATGTCCCCCATTGTGCTGCCCTAGGAGGGGGGTGGGAAAGCACCCCCTGCAGACTCACAAACGTGAGCCAGGAGAAGGGAGACTTGGCAGGATGGCAATGGAGCCTCAAGACCAGTGCCCAATTTTCCAGGTCACAGGAAGTGTGCTTAGAAGGGAAACTGAGGCCAGGATGAGCTTGCCCCAGCCTAGCCAGCCAGTCTGCATTGAGCCTGGAGTGAGCTGCAAGCACCCTAAGGGTCGTCCGGGCCCCACCTTCTCCTCCCAGCTGCTCCTGGGGGCCAGGCAGTGGCTGTCAGGCCTCAGCTCCTTCCTTGCAGATCAGGCCAGGCCTTGCCGGCTGAGGGGGCTGCTGGGCCCAGTGCCCACTCTCCTGCCCAGTGGCAGCCCAGCAGGGCCCTCACCCCCTCGGGCCGGAAGTGGCTCTCGGCTCCCCAGCCGTCCTGTCATTACCGAAATTGCTCCATTGTTGGCAGTGCTGGCACCTGCCGCCTTGGACAGCCCTGTGCTAACCTGCATTAAGCCCCAAGTCCTGCCTCCCAGCGGGCAGGACAAAAAGGTGGTGGGGCTCTCCCGGCTGCAGACCTGGGGGCGTCTCCTGCTCCATGCCCCCCTCTCTCCACCCTCTCTTGTGGGCTAGGAGCAAGCGTGTGTTCTGGAGCCAGCTAGACAGGAAGTTCTGTCTGAATAGGGGGATTCCTGGCTGTGACCTTGAGCAGGTTGAAAGGTCCCTCAACCCCGCCCCCACCCCAGGACCAACAATCCCTCCCTCACCGGGATCTGGTGAGGACAGAAGACAGCGGGACCTCTTGCTCCTGGTGTCCAGGCCCTGTGGTACATCCTGTCACCTGTGCTGGGATGGGGACATGCAGAGCCTGAGGACCCTAGAGGAGCGGAGGTCAATGGTTGGGGTCAAGCTCCAGAAGTGCCCGAACTTCCTCTGGAGGACACAGGGACCCGGGAAAGGGGAAGAGCCAGGGATGGGCAGCATCCCTCCCCGGTGCCTGCCCAGGAAGGACGGTGGGGTCATCACCAAGGGTACGGTGCTCAGCCCCAGGTACCGAAGATGGCTTCGGGTTGGAACGGCTCAGTCCTGCCTCCATTTCCCTTCCTTCGTTCCTTCCTTCCTCCCCCTTCTGTCTTTCTTTCTGTCCTGTGTATGTGTGTGTGGTACTGGGGATGGAACACAGGCCTTTTGCACTGAGCCACACCTTTAGCCCTTTTAAAATATTTTTTACTTTGCTAAGTTGCCCAGGCTGGGCTCAGCTTCCCACAGTGCTGGGATTGTAAGTGTGGGCCACCACACCCGATTTGAGCCCTTGTCTTTAACTCATCTAGTCCTCAGTATAGTGTGTTCTGCCATCCTCATTTTATACATGAGGAGACCAAGGCACAGAGAGGCCAAGTAGCCTGCTGCAAGTCACACAGCTGACGAGCACCTGAACTGGGCTATTTCTTCCTGGGACCACTTCCTGGCTCCCTAGGCTCTCAAGGTCACCCTCTTGTTCCTCTCCTAAGCCCAATGTGCTGGACACTGCCTCAGAAGTTCCGCTCTTCTTTGGGACAATCATTCTTCCCTCATCCAGGTGGCTTAGGATGGGCTGGGATCGCAGGCACAGCTGGTCAGATGGCCAGGATAGCTTTGGGTGGAGCACAATGCAGCCCCAGCAGCCCACAGCTGTCCTGAGCCTGGCTGGGGCTATCCAGGCAGGATGGGCTTTCCCCACTGCAGGAGATCTGGCAGCCCCCGAGGAGGAGGAGGCTCGCCTGGTGTGGCCCTTAGGCCAGAAACCTGAAGCGGGGGCACCTGGAGCCAGCTGTGCCTGAAGCTGTCCTGGTGCTGTTTCACAGGTCACCAAATGACTCTTTCCTGAAGCCACACAGGTGTGTTCTTTAGTTGTGACGCCCAGCACTACTTGGCGCAGCTGGCACCCTGCCATCCTGGAGTTGGGCAGATCACTCCTGCCCACGATGCACCTGTGTCTTTGGTTAATAAAATAACAGGGAGGGCCGGGGATTTAGCTCAGTGGCGCCGTGCCTGCCTTGAAAGGGCAAGGTCCTGAGTTTGATCCCTGGTACCAAACAAACAAACAAACAAATAACCAGGGAGTTAATTATTTAGGAGCTCATGATTAGCTGTTTGTCGTGCACACTGGTAGGAAGGCAACCTTTCGCCACCCTGGCCTCTGGGGGGAGTGGTGACATCCTTCCTGTGACGGAATGCTGTGAGGGATCCTGGGCCGGGCCGGCACCTGGTCTTGAACCCTTCGTCCATGAGGCAGGCTGCCCTCAGCCCTCCTCCCAGGGCCTCCGGAGCTGGAGCTGCAGCTTGGCAGAACCACAGACTGCACCAAGCCAGTGGGCCCTCCGTCTGATGGTCTCTTCTTGGTGCCCACAGGCCCCCAGGGCCCTTGGGTGCTTCGTTGTCAGCTCAGTGGTGAGCTCCAACTGGCCCATTAATTCAGAGTGTGATGGGCTAACTCTCCTAGGGAGAGTAGGGACTCACTGCGTCAGAGGCCAATCTTACAGCCCTAAGGCAGTGAGAGTCTGCTGCAGGTGTTTCAGACAAGAAGACACTGAGGGTGGCAG